AATCTCAAACTACTTCAAGTCACAAACCAAGAAATTTTAGACAGTATGATAACCAAGAGAAGATGGAAATGGCTTGGCCACGTTATGAGAATGAATCCTGATTTACCCGCCAAAACAGCTCTCACATGGACACCAGAGGGAATGAGAAAACAGGGGCGCCCAAAAACAACATGGAGACGAACGATGGAGAGTGACCTGAGTGCAGCATCTTTGATATAGAAAACTGCACTGAAGATTGCACAGGACAGGAAAGCATGGAAAGTCCTCTCTGCAGCCTCATGTGCCACTAGGCATAACGAGAACTGATGATGATGATGATAGGTAAATTGTAATAGTTGTTAGTTGAACCTCAGACCATGCAAGAGGTCAGATGACAGTGTCTGGACAAGGTTGTCCTTGGAACAGTAAAAAATTAATAAAATTTGTGAGCGTGTTTCCTCTCTACCATCTGTGTGTATATTCGTTGTGTACATAAGAGACATTCTACACATTAACCATCAGCCAGCATACAGGGGGAACATTATCGCGAGTAGAATATAAATATCACAGAGATAAAAGAACAGAATAGAGAAACACAATGTGCATTTGATAAAATGAAGGAAATCTTATTCAATATATTTCTGTGACTGAAATTACAAGCGTGAAGATGTTTTTGGCAGACTCTTCATGTGTGATTATTTTGATAGTCTATCTTACATATAGCTAATTTGATTAAATGTATTTAACTAACGGGAGATTGACCCCGGATTTTACATTTGATGTCACCCCAGAAATATTGTTATCATTCTGGGCGCACACATTATTAATTTCAGAACTTGTCAGGTCAAAAGTAATGTCAGTTGTAAGTCAGCATTACAGACAACATCAGACTTAGAGGACATAACTATCATTACAGGACATGAGTAGAGGAAGGCAGGAAATGTAACAACTACAATGTAAGACAAAGTCCTTCTAGACTAGACGGGGGAGAGTGTATATGTGGAGAGGAGATGAATTATTTCTTTATGAATATGCTTGTTATGTGTAAGAAACATGAGCTTGCATATAAGTATTTGCTTCTTTATCCCAGTTCCCACATGGGGCAGGGACCAGTCGGAACCTACTCTATGCAGATGGTCTGAGTGTACATCCTACTTGAAGCAGCGAGGATGACAGGCAGGGAAAAGAGAGGCAGAGTCCCATATTGAGATCTGTCTGAGGCTTATTTTTCTCATGTTATGTAACTTTTATTCAAAAGAAATATCTTCACCATAACACCATCATCATGTATCATATGCATAGTGAATTCAATGACTGATGCATTATCATCATACCATCTGATGCTTCTTGACTGCAATATCACAAATCAATACCACTCAATTTATTTTGATTAGACTGAATTAATACTCACGTTATAAAATATTAGTTGGATAAATTGTGTACTTAGGTTCAAGTGTCTTAGTGCATACTAGTTTACTTTAGCTCACTTATATGTAAATCACTTGATGGAGGCTTTTGTTATAAATTAATACCAGGAGAGGAGAAGGTCAGAGGGGTTAACTGTATATCTTGATGTTCTCTAATTAAACTAATCTTGATATCGAACTACCCTTTTCCTACTTCTGTGGATACAAGTACATTTACCTTCATTTACTACAAGCAACTTTTGCTATTTTCTTGCTTATCCATGGCTTTGTCTGGAATCAATGTAGCTCAGACAGTTTCTCACAGGAGTGTGTAGTGTTGGGATTCAAACTCATGCACGCACCACTCTAGTGTATATCCACGTTGGGTTGGCTACAATATAACCAATCAGAAGACGCTAAAAGCACCATTGTGATGTTACACTTTCAAAGAAAGACAGGAATGCCAAAGTTATCAAACAGGGATTTTAAAAAAGTACTATGGCAAGCGCACTCATTGAAATTAGGATAGGAGCTTTTCTGAAAATGTCATAAACAGAGAGCAGTTAAAGAACGTGGTAAAAACTTTGAAGATTTAAGATTATGGGCACAGATAATAATAGAATGAAAAGAAAATGGAGCTAGCAGATTGGCAAATAAAACAGTCTGCTATGGGACTTTAGATCAAATCAATCAGGTGTTATCTCCACAATGAAGACTGGCTGCAATGGATCTCCAACATGCTCTGTCTCTTGTTTTGGTAGTACATTCTCTCAGACTGCTGTTCTACTAGAATCTCTTTACATTATCCTCCCCCTTTTATTGTTCTCTACTTCTTGCTCTCTTTCCCCTGCCTTTCCCTCCATATGGTCTTTAAAAGCATATTATGTCTTTTGATGTGGCCAAAATATTTAAACATTTTTTTTTTAAAAATTTCTTTCAGTAATTCCATTTTCATTCACATCTTTCCAGAACCTCTGTATTTGAATGTTTTTGTTTCCATGAAATAAGACATAATATACTTCTGTACGTCCACATTTCCGGTGTTGTATGTTCTAGTTGTCTGTCCCTTGTACAAATCTCTGCACTATACAGCAGGGTTGAATATACATAAGATTGGACGATTCTCATTTTTAATGACTCTAGCTGTAAAAGTTTTTGTGTCTAACTGAAGACAGTTTTAGCTTTTCCTATTCTCTTTTTGAGTTTTATTTCACTTTTGCCATCATCTGTTACTATGTGTCCAAGATAGACGAAACTTGTTACTTTTCTAACATCTCTCTGTTTACTTTGATGTTTACTGTTGGTTGCTCTTTCCACTGTAAATTACCATAGTTTATGGCAGTGTTTCTCAAACTTTTCTTAGTCATGGCGCCTTTTTTCAATAAAAATTGTTCCATGGCGCCTTAACCTAAGTACTATTTGTATGTGACATTAAAAAAAACAAAAAACAAAAACAAGTGTATTTTCGAATATTTTGCGGCACCCCCGTGAAGAGGTTGCGGCTTCCCGGGGCACCAGGGCACACATTTAAGGTACCACTGGTTTATGGTTTTCAAATGTTAGTTTATCAACTAGGTCTTATAACTTCTGCTAGTTTTCTGCTGGTAATAGACTTCAGAACAGAGGAAAAAGAATGCCATGGTGTGACATGATCATCTCTACTGCAGAGAATGGCCTAGGGAGGGACATCACATGACCAGGGCGAAAGGAATTACCCATTCTTAGTACATGGTTACTAGTACATTTAAAATAACAAATGTAGTCTCCACAACAGTGACTTGTATCAATGGGTATATTACAAGGTGGCGTTCAAATATCTTCAATGGTTATACTCTTGCCTAACTGTCCAAAAGCCATGAGAATGGTCTTTTCCTAAACCACCAGCAGTGGAAATCTTAAACTCTTTCTTCTTCTTCTTCTTCTCTTCCATCTTGTACCTTAGCGAAATGTCAGGGTGGGATGTAACATTCATTGATGAGCTCTGTCAAGAGCCCTTTTAGGACTGATGTTCATTTCTGTAAGGCTGTTCTTAATGCCATCACTCCATATTTTCCAAGGTCTTCCATTCGCTCTATACCCGTTGTAACGTTTTAGTGTGGCTCGCTGTGGCAGATAGTAACAGGGCATTCTTGTTGGGTGTCCAAACCACTTCATTTGTTGCTCTTTGTTGACCTGTAAGACTGGCTTTATTCCTAGCATTTGTCGGATTTTGTGATTTTGTATTCTGTCTTTCCATGAAACTCCTGCAGCTCTTCTAAGGCATTTCATCTCTGTAGTCATAATTTTACGTTCATTGGGGGATGTAAGTGTCCACGTTTGGCACTGATAGCATAACTCTTTAACTCTGGTATGAAAAAAACTAAGAATATGTTCACTGACCTCTAAAGAACAGTGCCATTTTCAGATCATCAAACTAAAATTTGTGGCAGTATCTATGTTGAATACATTTATAAATGTCATACATTAATCATCATCATCCAGTTATGCTATCAAACGTCACATGAGACCTGCAGTCTAGTTTTCCATTCCGTTTTGTCTTGTGCAATCCTCTCAATATCAGGGATGAATCCAGTCTGGGGCCTCTGGCCTCTCTCAACAATTTTTTAAATCAGGCTATCCCTTGGATGTCATAATTTTCTCAGTCCATTTGTTTCCCATTTCACTGCTTGTTTAGTATACATTTATGCTTTAAATTAATCATGGTATGATCTTTTATCAAAATAGCAAAAATTATATATAATTTATAAAAAAGTTAGTCATGTGTCCTTCACAGGATACTGCACAACCAACCCCATCATTCTGTTTTGGGCTGTTCAGATTTTCTAGGCAAATCTACATTCAGCAGTTTGCCCCTGCATTCTGAACAGATCTCAATACAACTGTCTAAACCGCAGCAAGACATTTTGCTGCAACTTTGCCTGCAGCTGGGATCAAACATGGCACCCCCGCAATACGAAGCATATTCGCAACACCTAAGCCACAGACGCTGACCAATAATTTATACTGCAACCTTTTTTTTTTTAACATTTCATAAAATCATCAGTTTTTATTATATTACATTAAATTATTAGTATTTACAAATAATACAATAGAAGACATAAAAGTCATAAAAGTCATAAAACACTGAAAATGTATCACAGAAAATGTACAATAACGGCAACAGCTTCAAGCCTAAAATGTCTAATAAGAATGGCTACAAGACATTTTGCAATTAAGAGTAACACTTATATAAATTTGTACTGAGAAATATATTAGAATTCTACAAAAATGTATTCAAAATTATTTTTACTAATATAGATTCAGAGTTCTTCAGCATCACACTTTGCCAAACATAATATAATAAAATAAGTATTTAAACAGTTTATCCTTTGGCTGATCACCTTCTATATAAATTTCAAGCAGGTGGAGCAGAGACCAAGCAAAGATGGTGTTAACACAATTTAATCGCCAGTAAAATAATACAGAATACACTGTTAGTATATTATAACTATCTCATTAGAGCATATAAACTGTCTCTCAAGGTGCTGGTTGAATTTAGCCTCATATTATGAATATGTCATTTTTGTAGTTACACCACATCATTCATGCTGTCTCCTCTGAAGGAAAGTGGACAGATCATGCTGTTTTCAGCAATTCTGCATACCTGTAGAGCAAGAAAATTATAATTTTATTATAAATCACTAAAAAATCTAACATTTATAAACTGTTATTTTGGCTTGCATATTGCAAGAACAATGATGTAATTTTCAGTATAACTATCAGGAAATAAAAGAGATAGCAAAGGCACATCTGCTTTATATAAAAACTTCAACAACTATACAATTACAATTAATTACATTTTTTACTGCGCAAACTGTCTGCATTTGTTTAACAACCTAAACAAGTAAACACTATGGTTTGAGGCATGTGCCTTCCTATATAAATTTTTAATATTCAGATAAAAAAACCAAATTATTCAACAAAATTAAAACACTGTAATTACCTAATTATGTCATCATCTGTGATTTCGTCAACGGAGTAAGGAACTTTCTTCCATTGCTTGAACTTCCTGAGTTCAGACAGGTTATCAGTCTTGAACACAACGTTGTCGATACCAATTGCGACAAAATGGATATCCTTATATTTAATCATGGAGCCCAGAGGGTTGAAGCACTTTTTCCCAGGCTCTGTTTCCCCCATGCATTTTACTTTTCCAACAAAGAAAAGTTCATCCATAGGCTTAGGTGGCATTGAGACAATTTGGATTTTCCGCAGCAAGTTCCTTAAAAAGAGGAAAACAGGTGAAAGAGTAACTGTAAGCATACTATGTAATTCAGGTGCATCATGTTAAGAAAAAAATAGCTTCACATTTGCCACACTCTAATTAGACTGGTTTTGGTAGTTGAGAATCCAGAAGTCCACATTAAATAAATGGCTCATATTTCTGTTACTTCTGCAAGACATTTCTGATAAGTCTTGCAAGGAAAGGCAGAATATTGCTTGATGGGAAGCAATAACTACTGTCATTCTGTATCAATGTTGAAGGTTTTTAATGTCATCAATCTGTTTTCTCCTAGAGTGACCTCTTGCTTTCATATCAGATCTCTTCATACATTGGTGTTAGTAGTTGTTCTATCTGCATTCTATCAAGATGACCAAACCATCTCTTCTTCTGTTTCTCAATGAATATTCTGGGTTTGATTGTTCCCACAATCTGTCTGATAATATCATTTCTCACTTTGTCTTGGATAGTAAAGTTCGGGGCTTTTCTCAGGTATCTTTCTTATTCACAGGTGTTAATTTTATGCAGGTAAGTCTTTGATAATGTCCAAGTTTGACACTGGTACCACAATGATTGCAGGAATATATTGTTAATAATCTGACTGTTCCTCGGCAGTCATACTTATGTTTGGATATCTTAATAATAGCATCAGGTAGTTTAATAGTGTACTGGCTCGATGATATCTTGTTTCTACTTCCTGATCCATTCTCCCGACTTCCGAGAATATACTTCCTAGATTTTTAAATTCTTTAACTTGCTTCAGACAAGTATCATTCAACCCTTTATGCAGTGAACAAGGTATTGTACTGATTTGCATTAATTCAGTTTTAGTCGTATTTACTTTCATGTTACATCTTTGGCATTTTGAACTTAGCCTGTTCAAATTGTTTTGATCACACAATAATTCCTATTAATATATTATTATTAATTCCTATAAACAAGTGACCTTGACTCCCAAGTCAACCCAGCCTAAAATGGGTACCAGGAAATGTAAAGGAAAGTTAAGTTGATATGATTGATTTTGAACCCGCTTCTGTCAGTTGGTCTATAAAATTATGAGTCTAGCATCATATGTCCAATGTACCATCATATAAAAAAGGTCTTTTGCTTTTCCTCTGTGTGTGGAAACATACAAGGGCCAACACACATATATAATTAAAGGACCTTTTCTTCACATCATGAGTAATGCAACACTAGCCAATAGTTTTTTAGAGCAAAAAAGACATTGATACTGCCGTCCATTCCACTTTTCCTTCTCTTTCTCTCTCTCTCTCTCTCTCTCTCTCTCTCGTGCGTGCATGCGTGCATGTGTGTGCGGGTAAAGCTGAGAAGTTTGCAACTGTGAGGGCCAAGGCTTTTTGATTGTCCATTGGATGGATTATCTTGCAGAGGTTATATCTCACTCCCAACTCACATATATTTTTTGGTGTACTTAATTTTTTTTTATTTTTTTTGGGCGACTAAATTTATTTTTAAAATTGTCTTTTTTTTAGATGTATGATTTTTTTTGAGGATCTTGATTTATTGTTTATAAATTTTATAGAGTAATATCGCAAATTTATACATCCTGTTTGTCAATAAAAATGTATGATGTGATTACAGAAAAAAACAACTATAAATCTTCAGATCTTTGTTGGTAATGCATTAGTCTAGTAATAAACATGTTAAGTGCTATAATAACAAAGATATACTTATTACATCAAGTGTACTTTCGCAAATTTTATTTTAACAATTTCTTCTGTGTATGTCCTTAAAAGGGGAGTTAGCATGTTGTAGTTTACAGCTCAGCTCTGATTTCTGCACCTTTCAGCCCATCACATCCAATTTCAGCAGACTTTCACATAGTCACCTTTTATTACATGCTTATTAAGTGGCAGGCCTATTCGTTTTTTTTCTTATCTCAAATAGGGCCCTGGAATACAGTGGAAAAATATCAATGATTCATTATGTCAGCAACAAAACAGTGTTAATCTCAGTCTGTCTCACACCACATCATAGTTAAAGATGAGGTAACAATAGAAGTAATGAATATGTTGCAGTGATATACCCATCAATAGAGACACGGTACTTCTGGTAGATTGTTCTCATTTCAGTGTTGCAAACTGACACTTTCCTACACAGTGAGCAGACCTGAAATATACAAATTCAAATCCTTCAAAATATATGACTGTAGAAAAATATATAATTTATACCTAACAGGGAGAAGATTTTATCACTTTATTGGTTTGGTCACTACAAACAACCTTTAGTTGCCTGCATACACAGTTGGAGGATGCAGATTCCAGAAAACGTGGCAGAGGGTGACCTCAGCGATGGTGCATACAAGACACTGAAGATGCATTGCCTATGAAAGCACACAGAGCTGGAGAATACGCTGGAGAGAGACTTTCAGGTTTACTGTGAAGTTTAGCAATATTCTGTAAAGGACATGCTGATTGACTGAATGACTGACCTTTGACTTCTTCAATAAAGCCATAATATTTTGAAGTTTCAGAGAGGTAAGAAAAATTATTCCCCTGTAATGATCTTCAGCATCAAGCATCTATTGCACAAACAATAATATGATCCACAGATTTCCATTTCATAAAATTGTAGGGGTTAATTCCAACATATTATTCAAGAATAAATTTGCACACAATATATTTATCCAGGGTCTTTTTTTTTAATCTAAAATAAAAGGTGCTGGTATTCACCATGAAAGTGTCTGAAAAAAAGTGTTAGCAAGGTATCTATTACTGTATCACTGAAAACAATTACGCCTTATGAAAGGTGTCGGTACTGTGCACTACCAGAAAATATCCCTCATATTTTCAAGGGGACTTCAAAAGAAAACTTTGTGTGATAGAAATTACAGTCATTGTCTTGTAACCTGTCAATATTATTTTATAAAGTTTCAGAACAGCATCCCTTCTGTGACATTACCAGGTCAGGCACACCAAATAATGACCCCAGAGTTGCTGCTGCTGTTCTGAAACTTCCTGCTCCACTCATAGACTAACTGGATTGACAGACACACATCACTGTACTAGACCTTCAGTCACCAAAGAGTTTTTGTAGGTTTCACCCCTTCACTGATTAAAATCAGATAATAAATTGCTGCTAGTTTCTGGTGCATGTCAAAAGTGGGGCAGCTATCTTTAAACTGCCATTATGATGTCACAGTGTTCATCAGCATAATAACGCCACGTGCTTAACGCTTTTCAGTTTCTGAGACAAGTAGCTGTTTATTAACAACTCTTCCTTTATGTTCAGATCCTTCAGAATTTCAATATTTCTCTTCTTCTTTCTATATATATCATTTCAGCTCAAAAACCCCTATTCAAAAAGTCATTGCTGTTCCTCCTTTTCTATAGTCCTGTTCTGCCTTTCAGCATTAGGTTTTAAAGAGCCTTGGTATGTGTTATGTAGATGCTGGTATTACAGTTATTGGTATTCCATCTTGACATAGTTTAATATAGGTTTTAAGAGCAATCTAGACTGTCTTTGAAAGCTCTGTCATTTTTCCATTATATAAGCAAAGACAATGCTGATCCATGAACTCACAGTACTTATTGTTTTCAATGTAACTGCATGGGTCAACATCAAATTTACATAAGATGACCCTGTGCATATCACAGAATTAGCATGAACGAATGAATGACAAAACAAATTGTATTTCAATTGGGTTACAAATCGGGCACTCAGGCCCATCTTACATTTGGCCCTTCCATGCATTCATCTTCAATACGGCACATTATGTTCACAACAGATCTAGACTAACGGTGTCTCAGAATAATCTGTTAACAGTCCAAAAATATCATCAGCTTCGCTTGTAGTATATATATATATATATATTTGTGTATCAAAATTTCATTTTTAGTTATTATTTACAGCTATCTGATTTAGATATGTTAATCTCATCTATTTACTATAATTTATAAATGTCCTTCACCTTCTCTCCGTTTAAATTAAAGCTAATGATCATATGACATGAATTAACATACCACACTTTTTATTTATGCCCCCTCATCTTCAATCGATCCTAACTATCTGTCTTTTAGTCCTTCAATCATACATTACACATATAGATAATATTTTTTACACTAGAGGTTGTTTTCAAGGTAGCTACTTGCATTAAAGACTAATGTTGAGCCTTTTGATAGAGTGGGCAGAACTGAAGGGTGTGATCTGGGATTTGGGGTTTTACTGCAACTGGGGGTTATAGTTTATGCAATACATGCATGCTTGCAGATGACAGTGTCCTGTACGTAGTCTGAATATGACTGTTTATTTGCTATGTGGGACAAGTGGCACCTGGTCACTGCTTACAGGTTTTATTGGCGAAAATGATATCAGCATTGATGTCAATTCATTATCAATGAACCCAGTTTTGTTTCTGCCACCCAAAAAAAAAATTAATATGTTAACATATCCAGTGTACCAAGAGGTGAGGAAAAGATGCTGGCGTTGGATAGGACACACACTGAGAAAACTGGAGAAGAGTATAACTAGAATGTCTTTGCATTAGAACCCAAAGGGGCATTGGAATAAAAGAAGGCCAAAAAACACATGGAGAAGAGAGCTGGAGAATGAAGTTAGAAAGATAGGAAGGACATGGGGAGAGCTCCATGTAATAGCGAAGGATAGAACGACTTGGCGCGAGTTGGTTGAGGGCCTGTGCTCCATTGGGGAATAGAAAGGCAGAAGAAGAATAGTGTCATTTCTGCGCACATCTGTATTTCATACTTACTATCTCAAATGGCTGAACCAGCTCCCTTCTTTCTATCTGTTGAGCCAAAGTAGCAGACAACATTGCTTCAAACAAGTCTTTCTGATGTCTTTCTATGGCAGTTTGAAATTCATGTAGAGACATTTTTCTGATGCTTTCAATGGCATTCTTCATCAACTCAGCTCTTCTTTTGTTCATATTTTCCCTCAGAATTACACTTGTTATGCCTAGTAGAACGGATACACCATTGACAGCTCTGCTTCTGCCTGTCAAAATATTTTAATTTTAAAAATATTAGAAAATATAACGATATAATAAGATTGGAAATCAATTATCATTCTTTTAAAAATTAAAGTTAGAGCAAACAGTAATTACTTTTGTAAAGTTGAAAAATAATTTTAGCAGAAAAAAGGCACTTGTCAATTATGGTAGGAGAAAGTCGCCTACAGTTTTGATATTTATAATTTTTTACACTTTTGATTTCTTCTTCTGATTTCTTAAATTTGTTTATATTCTTTTATGTTAACTTTATCGAGACACATGTTGATGTCTAAATAAAGTTAACATAAAAGAATAAATGAAAGTATTTCATGCACTTCGTAATTCTGAGGTACCCCGTTTGATTCCAGCTGTGAGTGATATGGCAGCAGACTGTCCTGCATTGTTTTCAACAGGGGTCTCAAGAGCTGACCATTCAGGAAGCAATGACAAGCTACTAAATGTAAAATTGCCTAGTTAAACAAAAACAGCCATGTCTATACTGATGGATCAGCATTTAAAGCTACCATTAAAGCAGGTTACGGAATCTACATAGGTTATCCCGATGGATCTGTTGAAGAGATTTTTGATGCATGCGGGGAATTCTGTTCAAACTATGAAGCTGAAATAATTGCACTGGAAACAGCAGTATACCACCTAAAGACTGTAATGGATGTTTACCCCTCAAAGGTCCAAAATATTGTCATCTTCACAGACTCAATGTCTGCCCTTCAAGCTCTGGAGGGCAATGAACGCTGCAGAACTGACATAGCCAAGATAATCCTGGATGCCGATCAGCTTATTACCTCATACAACATCAGAATAGTGATGCAGTGGATTCCAGGTCACTCCGGCACACCAGGTAATGACAGAGCTGACAGATTGGCAAAGAAAGGAGCAACACAAGAACAACCACCTACAGCGACAACCCTCCAGACAGCAAAAACACTGATAAGAGCTATAAACAAAGAGACTTGGTTGAACAGATGGGCCATGGGAGACACTGGAAGAGAGGTTTATAGACATATGTCTGGCCCTGATCCTAATGACAGCATTAACCATCTAACAAGAAGGGACCAGGCCACCATCTTCAGACTTAGAACGCAACATACTCCACTCAATGGACACCTAAACAGAATACAGCCACAACACTCCCCAGAGTGCCAGCTATGTAACTACCCCTACGAAACTGTTGAACACCATCTCTTTGAGTGCCCAAAACTCAGTGAGACAAGAAGAACGCTACTCCCTCCGAGACCAGACAAGTGGAACACCTTGTACGGAGGAAAAGAACAGCTTGTGAAAACATGCAAATTCCACTACATGGCATTGGGCCAAAGGGCGAAAGCTCATGCGCCGCTGGATCGATAACAACAACAACAACATCAACAACAAAAACAGCCAATACATGTTGGGATAAGTTCTGCAACATCCTGTAAAGGACACACCACTAACTTATTAGACATAAGTATACAGCCTTTTGTGTCCATTCATGTAAATTTGTCACTGGTAATGTTTTGGTCAAAATATTTTATTATCTTGTCTGGGGCATACTGGAATTTTATGTGTATTCTTTAAACAATGTTAACTAAATAACACCAACTTATTTTAACTAAATTAATAATCAAACACAAGCTTGGATTCTGGTAAAGGATCACGTTCTGTAGATACATAAATCTCTGTCAGTGCTCCAGTCTCCTCACAGAAAATGAGAACTGTAGCAACTGCAAACATCCATATATGAATACTGGAATCACATATGCTATAAATATCCCTTAGTACTACTAGGCAGCAGTTCTATGTTTGAAATTTAGCCTAGAAAATAAGGGATGCCAGGAAGAGTAACTCTGGTAACCTACCATGCATATCGTTAATCAATCAATAAAGAAGTGACTAAAAAAGGGCTAGTGTTAGCCTGACTACCTTAGTCAACAAAAAATGATAGCTGCAAAATCAAATCCAAATAATCGGGGATAAGTCAATGAAGAAACTAAAACAGCCAAAAAAAGATAAAATAAACTCTTTTAACAGATGAAGAATGCTGGATCACTGGAATACCTTCTTTCATCTAGAAAGTGAGAGGGGAAGTCAATAAGTAAGTCACAAATGGTTATGGGATTGCAGGAAAATGTAGTTAGTGGTTTCTAAAGGTGTCATTTGGTGACAGCAACATCGAATTTTATGTCTCTAGGTGGTGCTAGGTAATGCATGCGCATTCGCAACACAGAAACAAAATGGCGACTGTACTTACAGAGTGTACCCTCAAAGAACAACGTGCTGTTGTGCCGGTTTTTGTTGTTGTTGGGGGGGGGGGGGAATGGCAATAGAGCTGCCTGCAAAGAACATTCATAAGGACATGCTTCCTGTTTATGCTGACAAATGTTTACCACATAAAGCAGTGCATAGCTGGGTAGAAAGTTTTTCTCAAGGACGCTCTAAAATTGTTGATAACGTCCAATCTGGTCGTACTGTTGAGATTGTGACAGATGCATCTGTGTAGCAGGTGGAGGAGATTAACTCAGGAAAAAATTAACTATCTAGGGAACTTCTGGAACATCCACCTTACAGCTCCGACTTAGCGCCTAGTGATTTCCACCTTTTTGGTTCACTGAAAACCCATCTTGAGGGGAAACATTTTGTGAATGAGGTAGAAGTTGAATATGAAGTGAAAATATGGTTTAGAAAACAGAGCACACAGTTCTATGCAGTAGGTTCGGGAGAACTGAAAAACATAATGGGACAAGTGCATCAATGTTGGTGGAAATTATGTTGAAAAAAAAAAAAGAAGACATTGTATGTGTAAAAAAAAAAAGTGGTTTTCCAGTGGTTACTGCCTGAAGTCTTTTTCAAACAACCATTTGTAATTTACTTATTGACTTCCCCTCATAATAACAATGCTCTTAAAACTGGTGTCCACCAGCATATTTTTCTCACTTCTTGACTATCTGAAATTTGTTTAACTCTCTTTCAAAGCACCACATTGGTGATTCTGCCACACAGTTAGGTTCCTTCTATTCTGTGCAACCAGAAGTTTATGAATATTTGTAGTTTATTAGTTACTGCTTTAGCTGTTTTTATATTGAGGTAATTTTGCATAATTTGTTTAGTTAGTTGCCTATCGTTTACAGGACATTGCAGAACCAACCACAGCCTTTTTTGGCTGTTGTGATTTTTCAAGGTAAATTTACATCCAGTAATTTGCCATTGCTTACTGGACGGTCGGCTTCTCAATACCCCTGTTGAAACCAACGCAAGGCGCAGGGCCCACAGCTGGGATAGAACCCGGCACCCCGGCATTACAAAGCGCGTTCGCAACAACTAAGTCACAGACTCAGACTTTGCATAAATACCGATATCTAACCAACAATAACTAAAAACTGTTTTCTGAAAATTTCTAGCCACAGGCAGAAGAAAGACAGAAAGTGTAAAAACTGAATTAAACTAAGATTTTAAAAACATTTTCGGTTTCATTATTTTCCTGTTTGCAAAAAATGATATCAAACAGTACACACCTCTGGTCTGCACAGTGGAGACCTCATTACCCACATGGTTGTATTTAATCACCAAATTGCATTCTGGGATGTCAAGTCCTTCTTCAGCAACAGATGTTGACACAAGGAGACGAATCTCACCTGTCCTAAAGCGATGAATAATGGATTCTTGTTTTGCTAATGGAGTACCTGGATAAAACATAATGGAAAAAGTTACTATACATTATATACAGACATGATAAACAGGGGATGGAATCTTGTGACAATAGGCAGAGAGGTCAAAGCCTACATTAATGACAGCTGTGTAGATGAGAATGTTATATGCCCATTTGGGTTGGTTGTTTGGCATCAGAAAACACTGGCCAACTTTGCATGTTCACATGACAGAATCATTAGAGAGATTAGCAGGGCATTTGTTATGAATACAAGCTGTATGATAATAGAAGTGTTGGCAGAAGGACACTACTTTGGTTCGAATCAAAACTATACCAATGTATTCATACTAAGTCATTAAACAGACATTTGATGCATGTTTTTTATACACACATTGGATTGAAACCCCAGAAAGGTCCATAATTCATGTATATCTTCATACCAGAATTTGTGGGTGTTGTGGGTTAAAAAAAAGGCATATAAGATAGCTCAATGATTCATAGGGCGTGGTCTGGGTGGGCATACACAGTGCAGGTGAATGGGAATATAGCAAAAGAAGAAAGTCAGGCATTCAGTTCAATTACTTCTAGTATGATGATGGAGACAGAAGCTGTCACAGGGGCACTTGCATGGCTGGCGGAACAGATAGCAGCTCAGGCATTGATAGTGAGAGTCTCAGTGAACATGCTTTGGAAGATCCAAACTGACACATTCTGACTATAATGTGTTGACAGAAGTCCTGCC